ATTGAAATCTACACACACACTATACTCATAGTCACGCAATGCTGATGTTGTTAACATTAATAATCTGAGAATAAAGAATAACAATAAAAATAATTTGCACAGTTTGATGTGATATGAGCTAATCGATCGTTAGATTAAATCACCATTGGTAGCACGATTTATTGTAATGCTTTTTTCCTCAGTTGGTCAGAACAAACGTTGCAGACTTGTTACTTCCTTGTTCAGATGACAATATACGGTGAAAATTAATATTTGGGTTATATATTCCAAGACGTAGGCTAGAATCTGTGATTACTAAGTATAGGATTCACATCGGTGCGGTGACTGACTGCCACACATACTCCGTCCTCAAAACATTAGATTCAACCGCGCTGGAGCCTTGCCAGAGTACAACCCACGCAAGGAAGATAATTCCGCAAGTAACTGCAATTCCAGGTTTTCAAACAGAGATGGCGACAAAGAGGCAAAACTTACGGACTGCAGCTTTAAATACATAATGTAATATGCCTATATTATAACAAATGCCTGCAGAGGGCGCCAACGGCCTGGTGATGTTTCATGTGATTCAACGTTGTTTAAATCCATTTAATTTTAATATTTGGCCACATGCAAAGTCAGAAACTTTTATTTTGAAATCACAATGTACAATAAATCGCATATTTAGAAATATGTTGATGTATTCTCCTGTGTTGGCATATGTTTAAATGATTTACGTTACAAATCAAGTGAGTTTTCCCAGATGAACGTAAAGCAACCCAAACTCACCGCATATGCAGAGGAAGAGTTTAGCCCCTTCCACACATACCCACACATACGCGCGACAGGAAGTAAGTGCGCAAGACTGTCCCAGGTCTTAAAAACGCCAGAGCGCAGTGCCCTTAACGCACACTAAATCCACACTATCTCGAATACCATTCCGGAGCGCTATTCGAGGCTTAGTGTATCCCATCATGCATCATGTTCTGGAAATAAATCGTGAGACTTTTTGCCGAGATCTCGCGAGAGGTTATGGAAACCTTTCCAATGCAAGTTAAATATTAATATAGTAATTAGATATTACATATAATTTGGTAGAAAAACAGTGTTTTTACGTTTTATTGGTGCAAAGATGAGTAGTGGTGATATTTATTTTGTACAACATTTGCAACTGCTTTTTATCACTTAATTAGAAGCACCACAAATTAAAATTGTCATGTTATAGGGACTACTGAACAGACATTTAGAAGTTGATTTTAAAATGCAAAGTATTTAAAATTAAAATTAAGCTATGTAAACACTTGCATTTTTACAACACTACAAGTGTGTCCCATCAGGTAATGAAAAGTTCGACACACACTTGTGGTCTTCATCCTCACTTGAACACTTGGGCCAAATACAGGAAATACATCATATAAGTAGTCAAGTGGTCAAGTGCAAAGACCGCAAGTGTGGGTATTTGGACAAGGCTATACAGTCTTTACTGGTAAATTACCGTTAAGAGATCATGTGTGAAAATCCCGGAAACAATTTGTTCTGGCAATCATATCGTTCTTATGGAGATGACGTGATTACTCTGAGCTGTTTACAAAGCTCCGCTGCTTTTTTAATAGCTTTTCTATGTAAATATGATGCTAGATGGAAATCTTTGATCATTGCACCTCGCAGCTTTTTCAATGTGTCGCGCTCGAGAACCAGACTTCTTTTCCATTCATCAGCTAATGCGCATCTCGTGTTTATAAGAGCAAAAACTTCTGATTGGCTAGTAATGTTAGTTTGGTTGAGAGTGAAAGCTGTGTTCCTCTCATACATTGGTAGGCGAACTCATGAACTTGAACGTGATATCAACAAGTGTTTTTAAATGTAGGACGACTTTTTTTCCCAGCCAAATGCCGCATGCCGGAGATCCGGCACGGTGCCGGAGAACTTTAAGCCCTGCATTATGCATCAACTACCAGGTTTGTTTTACCTCTCAATGAGTTGCTTTCCAAGCACAATCTTGGTTCCTTCTACTTTAATAAGTTCTTCATTGTCATTGTGGATCACAGTCTTCTCAAGCTCCTCTTCCTGCTCCTCTGTCATTGCCACCGGATTAGAGGGTGGGGCATTGGTTTGGTAGTACAATGGGCAGAACTTATTGGTCCTCATATGGCCAATAGCACCACAAGCTCCACATTTCAGCTGTGGACACCAAAAACATTTGAATCAGTCTATGCAGGAAAATATCATGCGTTCATTTCATTCACAGCAAGACACTTTCAGAAGTTGTGCGAAACAAGGATCAGTGATGAGTAGGAGTGCATTTCTAATTTTGTACCTTCAGGTCTGGTCGTTCTTTGGCCTTCTTCGCCTTTTTCTCAGGCGGACCTTTAAATTTATCTTTCTCTTGGTTTCGCTTGAGGCGCCGCAGCTGCTCCTGAATTCTTCGTCGTTCCTTTCTCATCTCCTCCCTGTGCTGCTCATCAAACAATGCAAACTTGCGACTGCAGACACATTCAGGGAGACACACAAATGTTATTTTTATTATTATTTTAACTTTTTTAATAAAACTGTGTTTAATACTATATTATCTATTAGTGTGTACTAGTACCAACTATTAAACTTATGGTATCACAATAACTCTACTAAGTACACAAATAGACACTTACATGAAATCATCATCCTTAGTGGTACGTATCCGCAAGTAAGCGTCAATAACAGACGCTTTGCGTACGGTCTCACAGCGCACATATTCTTTGCCATCCTCATCACAGAAGGTGCGATAAATTTTCAATCTTCGCCCTGTTGCTGAAGAGTTTAGGCTAGTGACGGAGGAAGCATCATCATCTTTGTGAGAGCTGGTGGAAAGGGCACTTGCTACAATGCACAAACAGATGCTGAGTTATTAGATACAGAGACAGACAACAATCTGGGTACTGAGTACTGACAAGCTCAATTTCACACACACGTACAGCCTTTGCGTCTTTCTTTGCGGCCTCTCTCTCTCTCATTGTCCTCTCCCATCAGCATCCGCTGTAGTTCTTTTCTCTCTTGTTCTTCTCTCTCTCTGCTCAGCTGAGAGCTGGTCTTCTTATTCTGCAGCATGTTCTCAATGTTCTTGCCCATCTCCTCAAAATCACTGTCCTCCGCTGAGCTGCTGTCCGTGTCCGTCGATAACACCTCTGTGGACTCCAATACTCTAAAACACAAAAATACACACAATGACTCATTTCACATACAGAAGAGCATTGTAACATTAATCAAAATTAATTTTATGTAACCATTTTGATAACCTAACTGGTATAACCAGAGCTACTGCAAAACATTTTTTGAGCATGACTGTGCAGAATGAAAAGCTGAGAACCCTGCTCATTTCTCTCAGGTTCTCACTTGTTCTGCAGGTCAAAGATCCTCTGGCACTCCTCTTTGTAACGTTCCTGATGTTCTGCTACAGAGAATCGAGACCCGCGAGCAAATTTACTCATAGGCCCCTCCCCTGAACGAGCCTGTTCAGTAGACATGGTCCTCACAACGTCGATCACCTCCCAACGGGACAGTTTCTTTATCTAAATACACACATACATATATGTATTAGAGCATATAGAGGTTTTTACCACCAATAAACATTCATATCATTAGAGATAAGGTTAATAATATTGAAAAAAACAAAACAACAACAAAAAACACACACAGCACCTTCTCAGGTAACTATTAAGTGATTAGCTTATTCAGAGGCGGTATCTTTGATTAGTTTGTTAGTTTAGTGTCACCTCTTCCTCAGGAACTCCAAACTTGCGGAGCAACTGTTTGGCATTTTTGAGGGACAAACGTCTCAGATCAGCATCAGTCCCTGTCACTGTCTTTTTCACTGGCTGGGGCTCTCGATCATCCTAAGGAAAAAACAGGTAACACATTGTTTGAAATGTGGGTGTGTGGAATATTCTCATGCATCTGAAACATTTAATTGCCAGGAGCTGTGCTAAATGGGTCAGAAAGCACATACCTTCTGCTGTGTAGGTTTGTTAGGGACTTTAACGTATGAGAATCCTTCTCCACAGCCAGTGGGGTCAGCGACCCCTGTGACCTCCAGGAGACACTTCCCCTTCATGGCTGCAATGAACGCCCGAGTTGTGTTCCATGGGGCAGTGCGTACCTGATCATACCACCACATGAATATAATCAAACCATATAAAACGGACTAAATCCATCACAAATACAGTATTCAAATATACTCATTAAACCTCTGACCTCATCATCAATCTTCATCTGGAATTCCTCTTCATTCTCTTCCTCAGGTGCAAAAAAAGACTTCTCACCATAACCAGCATCCTGGGAGAGAGAACAGTGTACATTAGCTGGTGTGGATCTGGAAGAAAATCATGCACATAGAGATATGAAGTTTGCATGTGCAAACCTTTAGTCTCTGCTCTGCCACCAGCATACTGTAGTACGCACAACAGTGCTCTGGAGAGACCATCGCTCTGATCTCCTCTTCGGTAGGAAGCCGAAAATCAGGTTTTAGCACCCACCAGTTAGAATCCATTCCTGAAAGATTGTGAATGAAACAGCTTCAGTACAGGACAGAGGAGAGAAGTGTAACTGGGCCTCCATACTCGTTTCTTCCTCTCTAACTAGTTTTATCAGTAGTGAGTGACAAATATCTGTGGTCAAATCTTGATGATTTTTTTTATTGTTGGAGACAAAAAATGTTTGAAAAATGCCAAGTGTGAAAAGTTTTTTGTGGTATTCTGTGTAAGGCCTGTTTCACACAAACTGCATCTGTTATACATGACTCGCATGGTGCTTTTGACACTCACAGTGTTTATGCTGCAGACCTGCAGCTTTAAAACAAAATGCAGTGAGTTCTGGGATACTACAATGAACTTCCTTGAATAATGGTCATAAATTATAAAACGGTTATTGGGAGTGTGTATTTGAAATAAATACAAACTTGCCCATCATGAGATCTGATTTACACCACATTTACATCTTACACAGAATGTAATCCAAACTGTGGATAAAAATTATCAAGATTTAGACAGATTTACAGCACAGACAGTTTGGATGTTTGGACTCCTGTTATTCTGTGTGGACCTCGCAACCAGTTAATATGGGCACAAGTGTGTGTGAAACAAGGATAAGGAAGAATTATGTTATCTGGTGCACTTCCTTATCAGAACTGTCTGTTCCTGTCCTACCTTCCCAGTACCAGGAAACGTACTTCCTGCATCTGTCAATTCTCCTTTCTGACAAAACACACACACAGTGACTGAAAACATCTTTCATTTTTTCTGAGTTTGACTTCCTGTTCTATATTTCTTGCACATATACAACATTTCATAATGAAAATACCAGTAGGTAAACTTTCAGCTTGTACTGCAAGTTAATCTCAGGATTTGATTTAAGATGAATGTGTGTGCATGATAGAGGGTGTAAGTGCACCTGTGCGTTTAAAGTCAGCACAGAGTTTGAGGCGTTTGCGGATGCTGCTCTCAGAGTGAGAGGGAAAAGCTTTCTTTATGTCCTCCATACGTATACGACGAGGACGATCTTTACTCTTCCAAAACAGACGATAGATGAACACCTACAGAGAGAGAGAGAAATTACTTAAATACACTCCAAAAAACACCAGAGGCATTTCAGACAAGATCAGGATTTCAAACTTCTATAGGTGTCCCACAAGGCTCGATGCTACTGTAATTTGCACAAACAACTGAAGATGTTAAATACACCAAGTAGTCGGCTTATATTACTACTCTCCTACGTAATCAGCCTTTACATTTTCAAAATCTACTTATCCATACATTACTTCTTATCACTTGTTAACACACAACTAGAATAAAATAGGAAGGCAGGGATGGGTGCCAGTGCTACCTGGAGGAAATCTCGAATGTGTGTGTTGGCTCGTTTAGAGTTGGGTCCTGGCACCTCATAGAGAGGGCACTCCTGACCCACAACAAATATGTCCACAAGCTCTCGGATGAAGTAGCCCTGCCTTGTCCGGATAATCAGGAAATCAGTCTCAGGCATCTTATGTAGGTAGATGGGAGCTCTGAACAAGTTATTTTCAAAGGCCTGTGACACACACAAAATTACAACATAATTCATAAGGAATGACAATATAAGGACTTCAGCATGATATGTTTAAGAAAACAAGCACTTGACACAGGGTGACAGAATTGTGACAAAAGTGTGTTTGTATGTTACCTGCAGTAGCTGGCCAGGGTGTAGTGATCCCAGGAATGGTGAAGTGTGACAGTAAACCGTCTCTCCATACTTACAGTCAGGTGCTCCTGGGTCTTTACCTGGTTTCTACAGACAGAAACATTAATGATGCCATTATCAAGGGTGACCAGACTTGGATACCCAGATTCAGACCAAGACTTATTATTGAGACTCATGAGATGAAAATACAGATTAAAGAGGCCCAGAGCTAGATCAAGCCCTCGTTCATGTCACAAGTCCATCAATGCATGCTCTATATCGACCCTCGCATGATATGACAAGTCACCATTAAATCTCCCAGTGGTCAGCTTGAATTTGTGACTTACTCTTTTGTAGTTGTTCTTGATTTTGGTCGCCATGCCAACTTGCATGAGAAGGGGAGGATACTCCTCGCTATATTCAGCCAAAATCAGGTCTCCGTCTTTGCCTGTCAGATCCTGAGCTGTGCGCATAAAAAACATGTCCCCTCCACCCGATGCCTGACGTTCCTGTTCTCGCATCTGAGAGATTTTTTAAATATAACAAGACAAATGAAGAACAAGTGAGAACTTTAATAAGCCAATGTATATTACACACAAACAAACACTCACGGTCACTCACAAACACACACTGAATTCTTTGTTTCAGTCTACCTTAGCCTTCTTCTTGATGTGTTTGAGGAGAGGCTGGGCTGGGTGTGGGCCAGGCTGGGACAGCGCTCCAAATGAGTACTTCTTAAGGGAGGGTCGATGGAACTGCCGTAGTTTCATAGGTCCCATGTGAGTGGGGAAGAAGGGCTGCCTCAACTCAACAGTAGGAATGGAGTGCTGACAAAAGAAATGTTGACAAAAAAATGAGAGAATAGGCAAAGCAAAATTAGGAAAGACGATTTCATATCAAATTATTAAATCTATCAATTGTATTATTTGAGTCAGTGTTATTGGAAAATGGCACTAAAAATCTAATCTTATAAATGGACAGGCATTTTCTTGTTTCTGCCCATTTAAGGGTTCTATTCAGACAGACACACTTTTATGCACACACTGTTTTTAGAGGGTCATTCCATAGTGACTTATGCACATGCCCAGGACATATAAAAGGCTGTTGGCTCACAGGGACCAGATTTTCCAGATCAGACTCGAACCAGGGTCCCCATTCACATCCCTAGTTTGAATGTCCTACCTGGATGATGTTTCCTCCAAAGGTGCCCCTGAGCCCCTGCTGCTTGGGGTAGTAGAACTCATCGTTTGAGAGATTCCAAGGATCTTTAATCTCCGGTTGGGACATATTCTAGACAAGAGCCACACATGACACACATCATCCACTTTCCACATACTTGCTCTCTTTTCCTTACTCCACATCTTTTCCTTATCTTCCTCTTACCTGTTGAGGTTCATCTTTGATGACACCAGTCTTTCCCAACAGAATGCGACTTTTTTTCAGTGCTGACTCTTTCTTGTTTTCTTTGGAGGGTGAATGAGAGGCTCTCTCCTCTTTTTCATCTGGAATCTCTGTAAACACAGATCAAAGTCAAATTATAGGTTCCATGTACACTTGCATATTTTTGGTGTAGAAGAGGAACGGGAGGTTCCTCATGGTTCTGTTAATGGCCCTTTAATTTTCATTAAAACATAACCTTTAATTAAATCAGTGGTTCTCAACCAGGGGGCCAGTGCCAACTAGGGAACCTTAAGATGACCTAAAGGAATAGTTCGCCCAAAAATGAAAATTATATCATCATTTACTCACCCTCAAATTGTTCCAAACCTGTATAAGTTTATTTATTCTGCAGAGCAAAAAAGAAGATATTTTGAATTACTATGGAAGTCACTGGTTACTGTCAAGTGTTTTATTAACAACATTCTTAAATATCTTCTTTTGTGCTCAACAGAAGAAAGACACTCATTCAGGTTTGGAACAATTTAAGGGTGAGTAAAATTGTCCATTTAAAATTAAGACAAAACCAGCATTAAAATAAACAAAAACAATTTAAAATAAGATTTTTTTGTTGTGTGTTTTTATTTTACTTTAACCCCTCAATTGTTTTTTTTTTCTTTGAAGAACCAGGATTCCCATGGTCTTGGAAAACCTGAATATGAGGTAGCCTAATTTTTAAAATGTGATTTTTGTAAGTTAATTAAATTAAAAAATATATATTTAATAAAATATTTGATGAAGTAAAAATATTTTTTAAAATATTTATCCTAAATTCTTATCCAGCAAATCATAAAAAACTGAAAAAAGTCATGGGGCAATGAATACTGTTGTAAACAGTAGGGGGCCTTGGAGACAAAAAGGTTCAGAACCACTGTTGTAAAGACTGAAGTAAGTATAAAATGTTACATATAATACCGAGTATGATATTTTCGTCATTGGGGTCAAGAGTAAGAATAGGAGGAGAAGGGAGGCGGTCCATGCTCTGGTCATCCCAGATTATGTTGTCTTCCCAACGTCCATAAACAAGTTCCTCGTTATCAATCGGGAATATGGAGAACCACGGGGTGTCATCCTCATGAGCGACTGTAAGAAGATACAAATTCAGTTTGTTCTATTCTGAGCCCCAAAGAGTGGATATGATTCATATTAACCTCACAGCATCTGCCAAACTTTAAACATGACCACAGAACAAACACAGGACAGTACCTTGATGATCATGATTATGTTTGTCCCTCTTAGAGCCTGATATGGATGGAGTTTTGACCAAAGGTGGTGGGGTTGAGGGAACCAACTGAGAATTACTGCGACTTAGACCTGGAAAACATGCATACATTCATTCCACAGACCAGTCAGGGTGTGTCTATGAATATGTGTTTTATGTGATGCACTGTCAGTGTGACCTTCTTCGTTTTTTGTTGCATTATGGCTATGTTCTCTCACCCTGCTGAGCGTTGTAAGCATTGGCGTTACGGGTCATGCTAGTAGGCAGCCACCCAGCCAGACTGGCACGCTGAGTTTTAGTGCCCTTGTGTTTCACGTCCTCTCCATTCCAGATGATGTCGTCCTCCCACTGCAGCTGGGTAACCATTAAAAACAACTCATCCTGCATCGGAGACACATCATCCTCCTGCTAATACACACAGACAGAAGCACACATAAGATTAATTTAGTTGTAAGCTGTTATTATCACAACTTACTGTGCCTTTAATTTCATTGTGAATTAAAAAAAGTATACAAAACATTTCTACCTTCCTTATTTTGCAATGCAGAAGTAAGCTATTTTTAGTAAATGTGTGAGACACAATTCATTAATAGCTACTTGCCAAGGCCGTGTTTCTAGCTTTCATTTCAGTTTTCTTTCTAATATTTATATTTTATTTCAGCTTTAATTTAAGTCATGAAAACTATTTTTGACAGATTTAGTTTTATTCACCAAAAACTACACTGACCTCAGCATGTGCTTCTTGGTGTGGTTCCTGTTCACTGACTGGTTCAGCAACTGGAGGGTTTGCAGTTTTAGCCGCTGTTTCAGTACTGTCTTGCTTTTGGTCTTCTCTGAGTTTAAACCCATAATAGAAGCCACTGCCATCCTCTGGGACACCAAGCATGTCATACCAAAGCTGTGCTGGACCATAACGCCACTCAGCCACCTTTGGCCTCATCTCAGACACCTTATCACCTTCACCAGATACTTGCAGGAACTTAGACTCCACCGGAGCCATCATGTTGATCTGCAGAGACACAGACACATAGAAACAGACTGTCTTCTTTCTGATCTCATCATAACATAGGCCTATTTAATGAAGCGGCCAAGTGGACATGAAATGTTGCATATGCCTGGTTTACCTCATCATCAGACAGACACTGCTCCGGTGGTGGAAGTGGTGCATACTCATAGTCCCATCCTGATTTTTTCTTAGCCCCTGGCTCAAGTGGCTGTGATTCATTGTCACCTGTAGCCGAGTCTGACTGTGGCTCTCTCTGCTTCCGTTTTCGTTTCCTGCGAGCACTTCGCCATACAGATGGCATGTTCTTACCAGGACCAAACAACCGCAAGAACCGCAACACCTAAACCAAAACATTAACACTCACCATGAAACACTGCAAGCAAACTAAGAATTGAATGCAAACTTTGGATTATTTCTAAGAGATATTGTGTAACAGTCACCCTTCCAGGTCTGAACTCAGGGAACAGCTCTGTGACTCCAGGCAGGGCTTTAGCAGCATCTTTCTGCATAATGCCCGCAAGAGGGAGGGTAAGACACCCTGCCTGTCCTTCTGTCCCTGAACCCTGAGACGGTCGATCGCTCTCACTCTCGCTGTCTGATGAACTGCTGAAATCTACCTTATCGCCCACAGATGATGGAGCGATAATGGAAGGTAGGATAATGCCATCACCCTCATCGGTCACTAAAAATGATAAAAAGAAATAAGAACAGCACACACAAAATTCAGACTGATTCCTCATCAATAACAAGCCTCATTTACCATTGCTGTTCTGAGTGGGTGTGTCTTCTTTCTTGACAGGGGTTGGCTGACTAGGGGGAGGGGGAGGCGGCATGAGTTTGGCATCGACATCCTCACAATCAGCATCGTAATCTTCCTCTTCATCTGCATACCAAACTACACATGTCAGCAATTAAGTTGTGCATATACATCAGTGTGTTCAACACCAGTTGTGCCTGTGTGTACCTGTTCTCCGTGATGGCTGGAGGTTGCCCATGGCCTGTCTGTATTTGCGGGTTTCATCTTCTGCAACTTCACTGATATCAGAGTAATCAACTGCATCTTCTGTGCTCCTTACCCATCCTACATTCACACACACAAATCCTACATTCACACACAAATCTGTTCACATGGAGTAAAGTTTTTCGAATTTCAGAAACACAGACAGACCCTCTGCGTCAGTGTTGCTCTGGTCTTGCTCTTGCTCAACTGTGTCCTCCTCACTGGCTGTGATCTCTGTAATAAGTGAACCCAAACCCAGAGAGCCCAGACCAGCCAGGTGCTTCTTTGACTCCTGATAAGAGAAAAAGAGACAGTTGACAAGCATATATACAATATGAAGTTCATTATTCCTTTTTAGCCCCTCTCCACTAAGCGCATTCAGGACGAGAAATCTGTGGTTTCACTGGAAGACGGAGTTATGACAGTCTGATTAAAAATTTAAATAATAATAAAAAAAAGATTAATAACATGCATTTAAAAATAGATATGGTGAATTCCCATTTCATGACCATTTTAAGTCATTGATTTCCTGTGTCAAGAGCAGGGATTTGCTCTTTTACCATATCCAGCACACTGTCATCTTCCAGCTGTCCATTCTCATTGATGTTTCCAAACAGAAACCCTGCTAGTTGGAAGGGCCGGTCCTGGTCCTCATCGCTGTCAGAGTCTGACATTCTACACAAACAAAAACAACATATCATTCATCAACCCACCAAATCAGACTTAATGGATATTATAATTCTGTCACAGTCAGGTAAGCAAGTCATTTAGCAGTCACTTTTATTAGAACTCCCCTTTTGGAACTAAAACCTGTAAGTTTTGGATTTGAGTTCTTTACCACAACACCCTCAGATAACTAAACCTAAATACCTAATACATAATAACAGTCTACATATAAAGCAAATTCGTTTTCTGAACAGTACATCACTGCAACACTGTTTATACAGAAATTACTGGAGTATACTTCATTTTCTGGCGACAACACATGAGAATTAAGCTGTAGCTAAACAAAAAGAGGCGGTGTTTAGATTTTTTACTCTCTCACACGCCTCCCTCTCTGTTCCACTTTTGTTTTCTTTTACTTTTATGGACATCTGAAGACACTGTATGAAATCAGCATTATATTCTTTGAGAGTACGTACCTGCTCCTCTTTTGCTGTTATCCGGCTCGAAGGCCTCTGGGTCCTCGGGGTCGATTGAGAATTTGACCGAAGGAGGATCTCCCTGACCCCGGTCGATTAGCTGTTAGGAGATAGCGAAAAAGTAACGCGTGAAAGCATGCGCGCTAAACGTTCAAGAATATTATACGCAAGCTTAGTTCATTTAATGAGTAGCTATAAATAACTCAAATTGCTTTGCTTTTGCAATGAATGCGCAGCAGCCGCTGCTGCATGCGCGGGCTGTAGCAGATGTGTATTTTTCGTTTCTGTTTGTTTTGTTCAGAGCTGATCCTGTTTGTTTGGCTCCCCCTGCAGGTCTAAAGATGCAGCCAAGCAAAGGATAGTAGATCGCATATTAAATATTTACTGCATTTTCCTCTGTTCAGTTTAATTTGCAAAGCGAGGATACTCATTTAACTAAATTAAAATAGAACAAAGTAAAAGCAAAACTCCAGGAGGCTCAGAAATAGACATTTTTAATGAACTACAACGATATCATGGAATTACTTTTTTAAAATTTGTCCGATGGTAGATTTTGGAAATAGCACAGCAGAATGTTGGCTGTAACAATTCCCTTCATGTTCTTAGGCAAAAGCCTTCCACTGTATGGACAAAAATTTGGATAGCAGAATTTTCATTTTTAGATCAACTATCACTTTAATGTCTAAAATTATGTAATGCAATTGTGCCAACACAGATTGTGGCATTGGTTGGCATGTGTTAAAGGCTATTGTTTCAAAAGTGAAGCAACAAACTGTATACACCAAACTAACAAATAACAAACCACTTCACACATTTGTCTGATATTTAAAATTTGGAATGCTTAATTTGCATTTGCATGATCAAAAGTTATTGATTAATAATCAAAATAGTAACATTCTTAATATTAACATAAATTATTCAATATTTTTATGATTTTACCACTTTCTACTGAGATGTCTTTTAATGACATTATCCACAAATTCAGGATTAATTATTCTTATATTACATATTCCAACTAACCACTTTTTGCCTGTCGCAATAATCAATATATCGACTTATTGCGCAATATAGGCTATGTACATGACCTCAATAATTTTTGGTGACGCAATATATCGCACATTATATTTACTTAAAAATTAATGTCACCATGTTTTGTACATTCCACTTGCGTCTGTGTCTTTTGCAGCTTCTCGTACATAACGTGGTGTAGTCATGAGGTGCTAGTTCAAATTTAAAAAATGCTTTTACAAAGTTTAATTTGCAGATATGGCCTTGTTTAAGGATCTGTGTCTTTGTGCATACGCACTTCTGACTGCTAAGTAGTGATTGTGTTTTTCAGCAATAGTGTGCACCCTTAATTTACAGAGAAAAGAAGGCCAGGGAAAAATCTGTAGATGGAAAAATCTCCATACAAGTTATTTGTGCAGTTTTCTTTTTTCTACTTGCTACTTTGCACTTTTTGTTAAAACATTTTTATTTACTATTTATTCAGGTTTTTTAAGGTATCTAGTATTTTGATACTTAATTTCCATGATCTAAATATTCTTAAAAATTAAAAGTTTGTTGTCATTTGGAAGTGTGTAGGCCTTCTTGCATTATTATGCTGTTACATAAAAAAATGGCAATAATATCACTTATAATAATTATTTCTGGGACAATATATCGCACAACAAAAAGTTGTTATCGTGACAGGCCTAGTCGTATATAAACTATAAAATGAAAATATATGAAAATATAAATGGATTCCACCAAAAACTGGTGGTGATGATAAAGTCACATGATGAACCAAAGCCCATCACAAGCAGCTATTAGATAATAACATATACAGTATAGAAGGTGCACAGTGTAATTCACACAAACACCAAACACCATCATGGTAACACACATGAAACTGAAATAATGCAATAAACATTCATTTAACAACATTAGGTATAACACACAACCCTAATATACAAAACTGATACGAAAAAACTAAGAAGAAACATAGTTATTTCAACAAAAAAACTGGGAATTCTGGGAATGTAAATTTACGGTCTTAATGTCCAATAAATGTAATGTCCAATACAGTTTTTCACCGTATATAGTAGGGGAATTTACCGTTTTTACTGTAGCATTTTTACAGTCTTTTTACCGTTAAATTCACGTATCGCATATCGAATTATTTAATGAGTTATCGCATATCGCATTTTTCTTCAATATCGCACAGCCCTAATTCCATCTTTATTAATTAACATGAATAAAAAATATAAATATGGTTAAGCTAATTTCATAGCCTTTTTTGCTTTAATCTTAAAGTGGTTTGATGGAATCAATTGTGGGTTGAGAGACCAAACACTAAAATGTTACATCATCCATGAACGTGAGACATGCCAACTAAGACATCCCGTTCGAAAACAAATGTTAAGCATTCAGACCTAAACATTAGATCATTACTCTAACAATGCCTCAACACAAATCACACATACACAGCTGATGGTTTTGTTTAACTGTGAAAGCATTGTAAAGAATGTCAGAGAGATGCAGCTGTTCTTTCTTTCTCATTCCCCCTTTCTCTCTGCATTTATGCAGAATGTCATAAACAAATCTTAGGTCAAAGAACAGAAGCCAACCATTCTGTTTTACTTTAAAACTGGTTTATTTTCTCATGCAAGTGGAGGTATATTCTTAAAATAATGACAGTTTCAAAAAATAAAAACAGCTTTAATACAAAAAAAAAAAAGCCAATTGTTGGTGTGTTATTGATGTCCTAAAAACAAAATTGTTGAGAAAGCAGCCTTTGGCTAAAAAAAAAGAAAACGGCTGATGTTTATCATATAAAAAGTAGACATTCAATATATAAAATGTAAATGTGGACCCAAATGAAGCCTAAACCTGAATGTTCCGAGTCTTTTTGTACGTCTGGATGTTTCATTGTATAACGGAGATGAAAGACAGAGTGTTTATCTCCTCCATCAGTTCTTATTAGGGCACTTCATTGGAGTGAATCAACATTCATGGTAAAATACAAATATTAGTGGCACTTCATTTTCAAAAACAGGGTTGTAAATTGTGAGGATTCAGGCACAATGATCCAAATACAATGATCTTCATTTCTACCTCAAGAGTGTTATAAAACAGCACTATATCCCTTCATTTACAGCTCTTATAGAAGGCAGGTGAGCTACAACAGCTCTCTGTAAACTTTCAGCAGCCCTTTCCAGCAATAAATGTCAACTGGCACCCAAAGTAGCACCCTAGATGAAATGAGCAGAGAGGAAGGAGTTTATGAGATGTCAGAGAAGGGGCCAAGCACTAAAGGCACACTGGGATTCCACAGAATTTCCTGATTTAAAAGTCAATCAACCCTACAAAGGCAACAATACAAGAAAAATGGCATGTTGTGGTAAACGTAGATCATCAAGCCTTAGGATCACACATTAAAATACCATGCATATCAAGTGGATTGTGAGCCCTCCTAATTGTGTTACTGATGCGGTAAGGGAAAAACAGCATCTTCATAAGACATCCAGTCTGAATTTACACTTTGGTGCATGAAATATCCTCTGAGTGATTCGTAAAAAAATGCTGGAGTTTTTAAGGCCTTATAGGAAGGCAGAAGTCGTCGATGCCTGTAGTCCTTCAGACAAATCCACTCCACTGCCCTGGTCTGCCTGACTTAAGATTACAACACCGTATTTATGTCTTAGGTGATATGTACGTAAAGTTAAAGCACAAATACACAAGCACACACAGTCTCAATCGCTCTCATTAACAATATGTGCACCTATTGCTAACTGTAGTGTAGAAATACGAACAAAAAGTGGTAGCAACACACATTTGCAGAGACGATCACATGACACTTACATACCACCCTTCATAAAATCTCTCTCACGCACACACCCTCACGTAGTTATAACAGCACACATTTCTTGGCATGCTTCTTGGCATTGGGGTAGAGAACGGCCCTGACTGCTTCGTTGAAGACCTCTCTGACCCCCTCCTGCAGAAGGGCTGAACACTCCAAATATCGCACCGCACCAATGCTGCGGGCCAATGCGCTGCCCTGCTGCGGAGTGGTTGGACTCATCCCCTGCTCTTTCAGCTTCTCCAGAGTCTCCTTGTCCCCTCGCAGGTCTCTCTTAGTGCCTACCAGCAACACAGGCACACCAGGACAGTGGTGGCACACCTCCGGGTGCCATTTATGCCGGATGTTGGCGTGAGAGGAAGGGCTGGCCACAGAGAAACAGATGATGAAGACGTGCGTCTGTGGGTAAGAGAGGGTTCGCAGGCGGTCGTACTCCTCCTGACCGGCCGTGTCCCACAGGTTGAGGCTGACGGCACGGCCATCCACACAGGTCTGAGTGCTGTAGTTGTCGAAAACCGTAGGAATGTACTCGTCTGGGAAGGCATTAGTAGTGTAGGAGATCAACAGGCAGGTCTTTCCCACTGCACCATCACCAACAACAACACACTTTATGGTCTGCATTTTGTTGCCTGGCACAGGGGTCCCTGAAAAAGAGAGCGAGATTTCATAACTCACTATATACGAAAAACAGCAGTTAAGACTACTATACAACAGGGTAACTGGCCGTTTGTCCGTATAAATATTAGTTATTTTTACGTATGAGACCTCTGCAAGCAACAAAGACCCAAAACAAAGTAATAAATCTGTTCAGCTAGTACGCTAGCAGCTGATCCGCTAAATAAAAACGGCAATTATGAGACTTAGTAAGACAGCACCATATCACCGTTGCTAAAAGTGTATTTTTAAAAGTAAAACTCACTGTGTTTGGGTGGTCTGGAGAGCTGGATGAGTGTTTGCTTTGAGCTGCTCAAGTTTCCATCATCGCAGCGGCAAAGGCGCTTTGCTAACCGACTAGCGGATGAGCCTCACATTAATCAGTTATTAAACATAGACAAACAACTCCCGGAGGTCTCTAACTACGCGTAACAACTGTGCAAAACCTAAACACGTACGAAGTCTCGAAATACTTTCAAATGAACATCACTTGAGGTAACTAAAACAAATTCTTCTATGTGATTCGCAGTCCTTTTCTCTCACTGGCTCACTCATTCTTCAACTTACGGCTAACGGAGACGACATTGGGTAACACGCCCATGTCGCAAAGGCCTGTGGGAAATGCAGTATAGTTTGAGAGTAAAAAAGCTACAAATGTTTGCATTTACATTTATGTAGTCATAATTTAATGTAATATTAACACAGGTATGACTGATTTACGCTATTGATTTACTAAACGTATTATATTTTTTTAGGTTTAACGCGACAATGACAATATATTCTAGGTGTCTTTTTACGACTTTATCCACATACTGTATGTAGGTCTCGTGTAATTAAAACAATGTGAAGGCTCGCGCTTTAACTTTCGGGTAACGGAGACGACATTGTGGACCACGCAAAGGCAGGTGGGAAAATAGCGGTGCTTGGTCTTTCATGCTGACTAAAGGCTGATTTATACTTCTGCGTCGGACCTACGCCGTAGCTTACGCATAGACGCTGTGAATCAACTAAACCGCAATTTTAAAAAGTAGCCTACTGAATAAAAGTATTACACCAAGAACAACGTGTAATTTGCCAATTCAGAGAGTGAGCAGACTGACAGGGCTAACGTCAGAGTTATGAATTTTCACCCAAGTATACTTCTTCGATAGTTTTGTATTTTATATAAATTTCAGTCTTCAGTAGGCTAATGCACGAGAATTACAAACATTTTAATTACTTAACAAAAAAATATAAAAACCATATTTTGTATTTTGATGTAGCAGGTGTGTTGTCATATAGGTGAGCTAAAGGTCTTTACCTGCTCTCTCACCTATAAGCTGCTTTTCTGTGTTTCAGAGTGTGGACTTTACCCCGTCCCATCCTTTCCTCCTTTTCATATCCCATCATGGGCTATCAATACAGTCATAAATCCCCACAGTCTATTTACAGTATTTTACTGTCCCATAAGCCACACGAAGCATTTCACTTATCATTTATTATTATTATTAAAGTTGTTGATCTGTCTGGAACACTATGTCTGTTATCATAGGTATAAAAGTAATATTTCTAATATCACTTCTCCAGAGTAAACGGAATAAGACGTTATGTTTCATTACGCAAGAATATACACGGCGTGGCAACAAATGACTATGACTAAAAATGACTAAAACATCAGCATTGTTTAATTTACTTGTACAACTAGTCTGCAGATGCGACTTCCATTACAGGATTATAGTCAGCAGTCAGGAGCGGTGTACATATACTCGCAGCCGGATGGGGACGCCAAATCACAGCGTCTTATCACTGTACTTCACTATCGACCAAAGTAGACTGATAAAAACTTCCCGCAGAGTAATAATGGCGTCTTGGGCCAGGTTAGGCGTTAGTTTGCGGAGTACAGTCGGACGTTTCTGGCCTCTCAGAAATACAGGGTATGGTCGTGCTGTTGGAGCGGGTCTTCTGGGCTCTGTTGTAGCAAGCGGATTTATTCACTATAAAAATGAACCGCGATGGAGACTCTGGCCACACGTCGTGTACGCGCAGGACGCGAAGGTAAACAAACTTCTAGTCAGAGACAACTTTTCAAATGACTTCTCAACTTCCTCGAGTGTCATGTTGTCTGTGAAGTTAAAGACTTAACGGGCGTACTGTCATGTCCTTTGTTTGTTCGTAGAGTCACTATGTTGATACAGTCATCTGTTAAAAGTTTAAGTATTGAAGTGGGACCAACTGATATTTAACGTTACATTATTAAACGTGTTTACGCGTGTTTTATTGAAGTGTGTCTAAACTGTAGCCTATGTAGAGTCTCAGTAAATCCTAATATGTCTTCTTTTGCAAATGGCTGTTTATGTAGCTACATATATTTTAGATAGTTTGGATAGTAACACTGTTGCCATCACATTGTAGGTGGAGCTCTTGTCTGTATAGTGTCATAGCAAACTGTAGCTACTACAGGTACATCTCAAAAAATTAGAATATCATGAAAAAGGTCAATATTTTTTGTCCCTCATTTCAGAAAGTGAAACCCATATATTATATAGATTCATTACACACAGAGTGAAATATTTCAAGCCTTTATTTCTTGAAATTTTGATGATTATGGCTTACAGATAATGAAAACCCAAAATTCAGTGTCTCAGAAAATTAGAATATTGTGAAAAAGTTCAATATTGGAAAGTCATGGTGTCACACCCTAATCAGCTAATTACCTCAAAACCTGCAAAGGTTGCCTGAGCCTTTAAATCAGTGCTGCCCAAACTCGGTCCTGGAGGGCCGGTGTCCTG